CTCTCGCTGACAAAGTGAAGCTCCGACTGGGTCTGTGGAGCAGCTCCATCAGGGCCTGCTTGGGTCCGAGCCTCCCAGCCAGTCTCAGGCTCTTCCTACTTCAGCCAAAAAGACCCTCTGCCCGGCATATCGCAGATGGTATGTGGTCTACTCTTTCTCACGGCAGGTATTTCCCAAAGAGAATACCACATCCAGGGACTTCACATCCAAGCAGAAGGCATGGGGTCCTGTCATTAATCCAGAACACTGCATGGGGCAGAGCCTCATCCTGCCACAACACTTACCCCCTTTTCTTACTCTTCAGACCAAATTCTTACTCTTCAGACCTGTATAACATCAGCAACACTCGTGGCAAGGTGGGAACGTTCTGCATCTTTAAGACTGTGTATAAGATTGGAGAGGATGTCATTGGAACCTTCAACTTTTCAGAAGGAGACATCCCTTGTCTGCAGGTCATTGCTCACAGTGGGGTCGCTGGGGAGAGGTGGATAGGGGAGAGAGAGAAGGGAGTAGGGTGTCATTGGGTTTTCTATTGAGGGTTTCTAGTGGGAGCCAGCTGAGGTCTCCTTTGGGATGTGAGGTGGGCAGTGGTCCAGTCCTGAGCCTGTTTGGGAAATAGAGGCCCCAGGCTTTGCGTGAGGGCTGTATGAGGTTGTGAGAGCAAACCCTCTGCTGATTGCCCTGCAGTTCTCGGTGAGCCTGCAGACAGAGGAGAGCATCCAGGAGGAGTTCCAGCGCCGGCGGGGACAGCCCGTCTCCTTCACGGAGTCCTGCCTGCACACAGCCCAGAGCAGCTTCAGCCTGCCCATCCCGCTCAGCTCAACGCCGGGATTCACCACCAACATCGGTCAGTACCCACCAGGGAAGGGACCCGGCCCTGTTTGTCTGCGCAGGAGGACTGCGATGTCCCCAGCCCTGCCCTTGCTCAGCAGGGCTGTGTGAGTGGGACCGTTTGTGTGTCCTCTTGCCAGGACAGCCAGTGCTGAGACAGCTTCTGTCCCCATCCTTTGTGGTATTGTCTGTTGACCCCCCTTTTGCCCACAGTGTCCCTGAAGTGGAGGCTGCACTTCGAGTTTGTGACCTCCGGGGAGTCAGCAGGGACTTGCTTGGTTCGTGGGAGCCAGTCGGAGGCTGTCACCTGGACTGGGGTGGAGCAGATGGAAGTGGACACTTTCAGCTGGGACTTGCCTATCAAAGTTCTTCCCACCAACCCCATCTTGGCTTCCTACGTATCTCAGTTCTCCAGCACTAACTCCATCACCATCTGAAGTAGGGAGAGCTGGTGGGTCTGCAGTGCTGCAAGCGTGTGCTGCCAGTGGGAATGGCTGGCAGGATTGTCACCAGCATGCTGTGGGGTATGTGTCCCCTTGGTTTCATCTGTGATGCCCAGGTGGGCCCTGGGCAATCTGTCCTGTCCTTGGGTGGAGGAGCACAGTACTTGATGCAGTGTCATGTGCTGCAGCCTTTGACTGTGAGCTGGGCTCTTCCTGCCTGGGTGAAGATGTGAGTCCCAGCACTCACCAAAAAGAAATCTGCCTCCCAGGGAACCACTTGATGTGCCTTTACCCCATGTGGGGCTTCCAAGAGGGAAAGGCCCAGCCCAGGTAAGGGGTATGGGAGCTCTTCAGTGAAGCCTCATACCAGCCTTGGGTGAAGGCCGTGCCCATACAGGGAGACCCTCCAGACAGAGGTCTTGTATCAAGGTGAGGCACACTGGCCACCTGGGCTGGATGGGAGCCTCCATTTCTGCCCTGGCACATGTTCTGCCTCTTGGAGAGGTGTCCCACATGTACAGCCCAGTGCCCTGGTCTCACCTGGAGGGCCTGGCAGGCCAGCCCTGCACTGCCAGCACATGCTGGTGTCCTGTGTGCAGCCCTGTGCTGTGGCAGCACGATAGTGATGACCCAGAACTGAGCAGCACTGAGTCCCTGGCCTGTTGTCTGCCTGCACTCCTGGGTGTAAAGACATCCTGCTGGACTCAGGATCCTTGGGGAGCTGTAGGGAATGCACACTATGCATCCAGGAGCTAGGATGGAGGTCTCCCTGCTCAACATCCAGCCCCCCATTTCTACCGAACCTTCCAATGAGCTTTCCTCTTTGCATGGAAATCTAATAAACGTCTGAATGTGCATAACTCAGCCTTCCCAAGAGCCTTATTTCTTCATTGTCCCCAGTAGTGGTGACGTCCCACCTTGCACAACAGTCACAGGCTGGAGACCTCCTCTTTGTTAGTACCTTTATTGCAAGAACAGAAACATCTACACAAGGCTCTGGAAAACACAGTCATGGCACCAGCAGGGACAGGCTGCCAGGGTGGCTAGGTTCATGTGGATTGCTCCAGCTCCCTGAACCCTCCCTACCCTGATCCCTTGCAGCTGGAGATGAGGGCTGCCCCTGGGGATGTCTAGTGGTACCCCCGCTTTGCTGTCCACTCTGGGATGGCTCTGTTGCAGTGTTGCCCAGGGCTGGCTTGCAGTGCCAGGGACCCCAGGAACTGCAGGAGCAGAGGCTGTAGTGGTTCCAGAGGTTGGTTGTGCACCTCATGCTCCAAGAGCAGAGAAGGGGCTGGCCAGGGCACATGGGTCCTGCATGAGGGCCCATGGTGCTCCCCAGTGAGCTCCAAGTGGCTGTGGTACAGAGGGATAGGGGTCTGGGAGGGAGTAGGGAGCTGCTTGGCTTGAGTCTGAATGTGGGAGGACAGGACTGCCATGAGGCAGGCTGGTTTAGTCCTGTAGCCCTTTCTTTAGTAGCTGGAGGTTTTCTGCCCACCTGGAAGGAGATCCCATAGATCTGCATTCCCAAAGTGTGCAGAGTATCTCACAGGGAGGATGCCCAGGTTCAGTTCAGGAAGCTGAAGGCAGAAGCAAAGCCATGCCATGGCAGTGTGAGGGCATAAATGTTAGCTCGGTACCATGGTGTGTGGATAGTGGTTTCCCTGGAAGGTGGCGGCGGTGACGTCTCTATGGGATGGGACAGGTCTGGAGCATGCGGGAGGTGTGCTCTGGAGGAGGGAGGCCTAGGCCGAGGTGGTG